TTTACAGTAGCCAAAATATAGACACAACCCAAATGCCCCAAAATAGATGAATGAGTCAAAAAATTGCAGGGTATTTACACAATGGAATACTACTCAGCAATCAAAAAAGATAAACTCATGCCATGTTCAGCAACATGGGTGGAGCTGAGAGGGATGACGTGAGCTGAAATTAGTCAGAAGGAAAAAGATAAATACCGATGGTCGCACTCATATGTGGAATATATAGAAACCACATGAAAAGTCAACAAAAAGTCAAAACTAGCATGTAACCATAGAACTGAGGCATACAGCAGAGGGGAGCAGTGGGGTGGGGGGGTTGCCCAGCAAAACAGGGGAGGGAAGAGCATAAGGGAATATGCTGCTAGGTCTTGGTTGAAATGGTGGTGGGAGAACTATGGGGACTACAATGATGTAAATTTTTTATTTACTAAAACTATTAATTAATTAAAGAATTTCTTCAGATAGAAAGAAGATAATGTAGATCAAAAACTCAAAGAATCTTAGATCTATATTCCTCAGAGAATTAAGAAGTAAAAAACTTTTCTTTTTTTATTCTTAAAGGATCACATACATTGAAATTGTAAGCACAGTAAGCAAGATATTCAATTGTGAATAGTAACATCAGGCACGAAAATAGAAGAATTACTACAAATTTAAGGGGCACTAAAGGACTACTAAAAGGCTGTGATGAATGCCTATGCCCACAAATTCTATAACCTACATAAAATGGAGCAGTCTTGAAAGACACAATTTTCCAAAACTCACACAAGCAGGAAAAGACAATCTAAATGACCTATGTCTGCTAAAGAAGTTGAATCAATAATTGATCTCCAAAACAAGCATCAGGTCCAGATGGGCTCCCTGGTGAATCCTACCAAACATTTTAAAGCAAAAATATCACTATTTGGGGCCTCCCTGGTGGCACAAGGGGTTAAGTACCGTACTATGAAGCAATCCACAGCCTCTGCAGCACAAGTTCGATCCCTGGCTGGCCAGAGAGAAACCCACATGGCAGGACAGCCCTCTCCTGACTCACCCACTGCTCCCCTCAGCAGTTCATTTCAGTCAATCTGCCTGTTCTTTCCCCCGCTCTGTCTCTAGTGGATCCTCTCACTCCCCACATCTCTGGCCGGCACCCCACCTCTGGTATACATAAACAAATAAATCTTTAAAAAAAAATAACTATTCTCTACAATCTTTTTCAGAGGAAAGAAGCAGAGATACTTCCTAACTCACGTTATGAGGCCAGGATTACCTTAATTTCCGAGCCATGCAAAGAGAGTAAAATGGTACTCACTTTATGAAACAGTTTGTCACAAAGTCAAATGTGATAGAGTCATGACCCACAAAGATGTCCACATCCTAATCCCCCAAATCTGAGACTGTGTCACCTTACATGGCAAAAGGGACTTTGCAAATCTGATTAAGTTAAGGACATTGAGATGCTAGGATTGCAGAGGAGTGACTGGTAGGGCAATGTAATTACCAACATCCCTCCAAGGGAAAGAGAGAGGCGGAGAAATCAATGACATGAATGTGTGGAGGAAGCAGAAGGTACAGGGAAAGCAAAGTGGGAAAATACTGCACTGCGGGCTTGGGAGGCAGCACGGGAGCACCAGCAGGATGGGAGCACCCGCAGGACGGCCAGGCAGCTGGGAGTGGCCGGATTCTCTGGGAAAATGTTGTAGACATAGGACATCCATAACTTGAGATAGTAAATCTGTATTGTTCTATGAAAGTACTTTTGTGATAATTCTTCACAGTGGACATAGGGAAGTGGATACCATATTGCTCAGCAATTCTGTTGTTTGGAATAAACTTAAAACAATTCAAAATATATATGTGTACACAAAAATGAGAACATGAATGTTTAGAGCAGTATTTCTAATAGCCAAAAAGTGCAAATAACTCAAGCGGTCATCACCAGTGAGTGCTCAAACAAAAGTGATTGTCCACATAATTAAATTATATTCAGCAATAAAAAGGAACAAAGTGCTGATACTTATTACCACATTAATGACTCTTAAAAACATTATGCTAAGTGAAGGAAAGAAGCCAGATACAAAAGCTTTCTTATCACATGATTCCATTTATTCCAAGCATAGGGAATAAGCAAATAGCGAGTGGATCAGGCATCCCTGGGGACTGGGGCGAGGAGGGTTGGGGTCATGGCTACTGAGTGCAGGTTTTCCCTGGGGGTTGGGTGATGAACATTTCCTAAATTAAAAAGTGATGAGGGTTGCACAAGGCTGAAAAGATTTAAAAACTGGGTTGTATACCATAAAAATAATTACAGGATATGTGAATTATATCTTGACACAACTGGCATGAAAATACCAGCCGACACCCGATTCCTGAGAGTTTTCCCCAGTTCTCCTAGACTGAGTTAATCCCAAAACACAGACACCACTAGGAAAGGGAAGACACGGTCTACAAATACCATTCCCTGCCTCAGCTTCAAGTCAGGAAACGCTGCATAAGGAAAGAGCCATGCGAGCACTGTACTTCAAGCCAGCGGCCGAGGTGGGTGCGGAAGCCTGCTGAGAGAGGCCCGGGGCCTGCTGGTTGCTTTCCCCCCAACCAGGCTCAGAGTTGGAAATGGCGACCACCGCGGGGTTAGGAAACTCCCAAAAGGAGACTGAAAACAACCTGGACAGGCTTCAGGCAGGACAGAAAGGGGAAGCCTTGATGAAAAAATAAGCGCTAAAAACTCCTAAGCTCAGCTGCTGCCAGCGGAGCCAGGAGGGTTATGAGCAGAGAAGCCGGCGCCGGTGGAGCCCTGCGGCCCGGCCACTGCCTCACGGCGGCGACCCAGGCCGTGCCCGTTTCGCTGGAAGCCTACGGGCCTCGCACGAGCGGCTTCCACAGCGCAGGTCTCAGGGGCCGCCGCCGAGGCCTCGCTCCTCCCCACTGCGGCTCCCCGATCCTTCCCCCGGGGTCTCTCTCCCCGCCTCGCCCTTCGGCCCGGCTGGCATGAAGTCCAGCTCTCGGCCAGCCCGCGGCCGCGCCCCCGCCGCCCCCGCAGCCCCGCGACACCCCAAACCCCGTGCTCCCCGGCCGGCGCGGCTCGGGAAAGTCAGAGCGGGCAGGGAAGGGGAAAGAAGCAAAACGGGGTACATTTTCTAGACTTTCCCAGAGAAGAAAAGGAACGCGAGGGCCTCCCTGGGGGCGCAGCGGTTGAGCGCTGGGTTGCGAAGCTGCCCGCGGCCTCTGCGGCGCCGGTTCGATCCCCGGCTGCTCCCCGGCCACCGGAGGAGGGTCCCGCATGGCGCGCAGACCTCTCCTGCCGCCCGCTGCTCCCCTCAGCAGTGTGCTTCGGTCCTTCTGCCTGCTCTGCTCCCCGCTCTGGCTCTGGTGAATCCTCTCACCCTCCCGCGCGTCTGACTGTCCCCAGTGCTTGTGTAAATGAATAAATCATTTAAAAAAAATTAAAAAAAAAAAGAAAGAAAAAAAGAAAAGGACCGCGAGCGGCCGGGCCGAGGGTCAGGAAAGCGCCGGCAAAGCGCGCGGTGGCGGGAGGAGGGCGGAGAGGGCGGGCGCGGAGGACGCGGGAGACGGGGAGGTGCTGGCCGAGGAGAAGAGCACCGCGCGCGGAGAGTCTCCCGTAGGGGAGAGTTTTTAAATCGAATATTCTCGCAAAATAAATAATTTTCCAGACGCGCACGGAGACGTGACCTGGGTAGAAACCAAGGCGCACGAGGCAAAGGCCCGGGCCGCGACGGGCGCGGGAGCCCCTCCCCCCAGCCGCCGGCAGAGGGCGCCGCCGCCCGGGCTCTGAGGCGCGGGAGTCGGGTGAGGAGCCGAGACGCGCCCCCAGCCCCCGCGCGCCACGCAGGGCACCCCCGCGCCGAGGCCGCCGCCAGTCCCTGCCACGCCGCCCACGAGCGGCCGCTCGCGCCCGGAGCGCGGGCGGGGGCCGGAAGGGCGAAGCCGCGGGAGCCGCTCGCCGCTGAGCGGCACGCGGAGACGAGCGCCCTCGGGAGGCCTCCTCGAGCGCCCACCCCCGCGCGGCGCGCCCTGAGCTGAGGAGGCGGGAAGAGAGCCGGGCCTGGCCTCCAGGCGGGGCGAGTCGAGCCCCTGAGCGCCCTGAGGCGACGACGGAGACGCGAGGCCGGCGGGCGCGGCCTCCTCAGCCGCAAACGGACGCTTCTGTGAAGCCACACGGGCGCGCGGGCCCGGCGGGTCGCCCGCGGGCGGCCACGCACCACACGGGCCGCGGACCGGGCGTCGGGCCGCGCGGCTTCTCACCTCGGAGGCGCGTCCGTCGGCCGGGCGACGGCGAGCGGGCGTCCTGCGGCGGCCTGGGCTGGCCTGGCGGGCGCCGCCTCCACGCGCGGGCGTCCGGCGTCTCCGCGGAGGGCGCAGCCGGGCCGGCGGGGCCGGCGGGCTCGCGCTCCCGCGGGCGCTGCCCTCCTGTCCGCCGTCGGGGCGCGTCGGCCGGCGCGGCTGCCCGCGGGCCGCTCTGTCAGGGGGACCGAGGCCGGCTGCGCGCGGCGCGACGCTGTCGCAAAGCCGTGGGCCGTGACGCCTGCGCTGTGGCCGGGGCTGCCGTAAAGCGAGGCGGGCCGGGCGCGGCGTCCTTCCCGCCGCCCCGCCGGGGGTCGCGCCCCCGACGGCGCGGGCGAGCCGGCTCGGAAACCCGGCCCGGGGCCTCCCGCGCTGGCCGCCTCGCCGGGCGGGCTCCACGAGGAGACGTTTTAGAGTCAGCCCGGCGCCGACGCGGGCGCTGGCGGACGGCCGTGCAGGCGGACGCGCAGCGGCGGCTCCTCGAGGGGGCCCGGCGACGGCGGGAGGCCAGTCCGCAGGCGAGTGGGGCGCCCGGGTCCCCTCGGGTGGGGGCGCCCAGCTGCGGTGGCTCAGGCCCGGCCACGGCCTCGGCCGCTCGCGCAGGCAGGTCCGGGCCTTGCTGTTCGGGCGCTGCGGGCCCGCTCGGCGGCGTCCACCACGCACCGAGGGCCGCCCGCCCCGGCCCCGACGGAACGGCGCGGACTGACCGCTCGGACAGCGCCTCGCGGGCACGGGCTGGGCAGGGACGTGTCTTTAGCCTCTGTCCTAGGAAGTCCAAGCGCTTCTATGTGCAGTCCAGTTGCTTCCTAATTGCTGAGGATGCAGTGGTCAAGCCACCCTTTGTCCCTCTTCTCAAAATGGACCAGGTTTGTGCAAATTTACCTCCATGAGTAAACTGAAGTTTAAAAAAAAAAAAAAACTGAGTTGCAGAAACGTCAACACTGCAGCCAGTCCCCCCCCCCCCCCGGCCCCACCCCTACCCCTTATTGGTCATCAAATTACAGCTATTATCCCCCTGGAACCTGTCCCAGCCCTTCCACTCTCACCTGCTTCTCCTCAAGAGGAAACCCGACCTCCACTCTTGCTTCTGAGCTCTGGCTTTCTCTGCCTACCCTGTAGGTGGACAGGCCTGACCACTGGCCAGGGGCCAGAAACCTGCCTCTGCCTCTGCCCCATCCGTGGGGGTTCCCCCCCACACACACACACAAGTGCTCCTGCCCTTCGTCTCTCTCCCACCTTCACATCATTTGAAGTACAAACGAATTCATTTAGGAAGGCCCATGGCTGTTAAATACTAAATGATAATAATGTTTTAGGGTCTCAATAAAATATTGTTATTTAATTTATTGACATGGGCCATTTCACTGTGATGATGGGAAAATCAATGAAAATGCCTAGGCCTCAAGAAGGGGAGCCCTACTCTGTGGCTAGCAGATTGCAGTGCTTTGTGGCTAGCAGGCTGTAATGCGCCAAAGAGGAATATGATGCAGGATGTAACTTTTGAGAGGGCCATTTATCTGTTTTATTGCTACATGAAGCATACAGCTAAATATTACTGTCTGTTCGAACCACTGGGTGAGGCAAGGGTTCGCCTGGATAACAGAGATTTATGTACCTTGTAAACCCGCTAAGAACTATAAGGTTATTCTCCCCAACAGTGCGTCAGACACATGTGCTTCTTAAAAACAGTAATACTGACCTTTATTTTTAAACACCTTTTTTTTTTTTTGGACCTTTGTAAAAACTATAGAATCTTAGCTGATTGAGACGGGAGTGAATTTTTAGTTTGATTTTATTTTACTAAGATCTTGAACATGTAGTGTGTTGAGAATACCTGAAAATATACACAAATCAAAATGACTGTCAAGAATGAGTAATTTTTGTGTGTGCACACATGTGAGAGGCAGAGGGAAGGTGAATGTGGCAGATGTCATAGTAATACTGAAAATTAAAAAGTGAAGATAAAGATGAGATAAAGAAAGAATTGATTGTAATGATTGTATTTTATTGTGTGCTAGGCACTCTTCTGGATGTCTTACAAACCCTCACTCATTTAGGCTTTGCAGGAACTCTGTAAAATAGATGTTACTTGTATCTACATTTTAGATACCAGCAAGCTGAGGCACAGAGATATCAAGTAACTTGACCAAGGTCACACAGCAGCCCCCAAACTGCAGGTTTCCTCAGCTAGGTTCCACCCACGGAACTTGACAGACTTCTTGTCTTTATTGAGCACACTTTGCACCATTGTACCTAGTTGGATAGCTTTTGGAAAGTTGCAGTCTCTCCGGTTTCTTCCAAAAATTACTAGAGAGAATTGAGATACAGCACAAGGTGCAGTCTCACACCTGACTCCCCAGCCTGGCATTAGCTTAAACTTTACTCTTGTCCTTCCTTACTGACCTTTCTTGCCGGATCACCTTTCTCAAATCCTGGACTCAGGATAAGGCCTTCCTTTGTGTCACCTGCGAAGAGCCCTACTGTAGCCAACTCTAGGCTGTCTCCCTCGGTGTTGGGCCAAAATCATCAAGGTGACTCCATTTAGCATTTTTCTTGGCACCTCCTTGCCACCCCTCCCAACATGTTATCAGCAGCCTTATAATCAAGTGTCACCTACAAAGCAGCAGTGCTGGGAGCTTCTCTGATTGTAAACTCTCCAGTCTTGCTGGAAAGCTCCAGCTCCCGCCATGGGGCATGGTGCCTGGGAAGCCTGTGCTTTGCTAAATGGACCTGTCTAATGCAATGACTTCCATGCCTTAGTGGACCTTAGAAACACCTGGAGATTAAAACAGATTCTTGGTTCTGACTTAAAGAGTGTCTGGCTCAGTAAGTTTGGAGTAGGGGAGCCAATCCTATGCATTTCTGTTTCTTCCCAGATGCTACTGCTGCAGTGGCTGCCACCACCCCTCCTGCCACAGGGATCCCACTGTGAGAACTGCTGCACTCACTCTTCCCAGACTCTCTCATCTTCTGTGTTCAGGACGTCTCAAGAAAGTTGTGAGTTCTCTCTACCTTACCTTCGGTACAATATTTCCCCCTTGGTGACTTAGACATGAGGATGTTCTGAGAAGCTGTGGCCTGAGGAGAGCCAGCATATTCAGGTGGGCTGGGATGGGTGCCAGGGGCCTTTCCCTGACCCCACCATCCTTTCTTCTAACGTGCTGGCCTGGGAAGAAAGCTTTACTCCCATGTTGACCTGAAATGTTCACAATTACAAACAAGGTAGGGCAGAAGTTTTCTCAAGAGTCTGTTATAGCCACTTCTAAGCTAATAATAATGTAATAAGGAGAGAAATTCAGTTAAGAAGTCTAAGGAATAACTTGAGGATCATGGTACAAAAGAAGTGGGGGTTGAAAAGAGAGGGCAACTAGAAAATAATAATTACTTGCCTGGGTCTATTGAGGAAAAATTTACCAAGATTCTCACTCCCAAATTATTTTTATAATTTGGAATTTCTAAATGGTATAAAACCAAAACTACAGGGAATAAATACCAAATAAAAATATGAATACCCGCCCCAGTTGTCCCTTATGTAGATGATCGGAAAAATTTAAGGCGTGCAGTTGTGGATATTTCCCAGAATGTTCGCGCATTTACACAAGACAGCTGGTGATTTTCCAATGCGATAATCAGTAATAAGAGGGCTCCCAAGGGAATACTGAGACATACGCACTATTAAGTCTTCCACATCATAGAGGTTGTAAGAATTTAAAATAAAGGATGGTAGCATTGCAAACTAGGGTGAGATGTATGTACACACATGCGTGCATATCTAGGGACACATGCGTGCATATCTAGGGATATATATTATATTATCACCCTATATATTGTATGAAAGTTAACTTTTTTTAAAAAGAGAACTGGTGCTTATTTGGAATGATATGAGAAAAATGAGAGCAGAAGTTGTAATCTATTTAGATTTTCAGATCTTTTTGTACATCAAAATTTGCCAAGTGATCAAAGCCGTGGTTTTACAGTAGGCTTGAACGGGAATTAGAGGATCATGATAAATAAAATATCCCGAAGTCTTCTTTTATAGATTTATAAATAATTTGGAGGAAATAGTCCATAGCCAATTCTCCAAGTCTGTAAATGGTATAAAATGTTTATGGCAGGGACATTATAAACTAACAGAGATAAACTGCAGAAATCTCTTTTGGTATGAGAGGGCATAAAAATGGCAACTAAGTTTCTATGTAACAAAATCCAGAAAGAGTTGTTTACAGAAGGCTCAGCTGCCTTTACCCGGAATGGGGAGACAGTAACAATCCAGATGAAGGACCCAGCCATGACGACAGCCCTTTCTGAAGACAGTGGTTCTGTGTGGCGTGTGGGGGAGATTAAAAAATCTGGTTATTACAAGAAAATAAAAGAATGAGAAAAGCAGGATGCTGCGCAAAGTCATAAGGGCACAATGGAAATGCGACCCAGCGGAGGGCCCTGAGACCAGTGTGGGGGCCGGGCTGCGGAATTCGGTGGGGCCCCAGATAGTAAATGTTCAGCCTGCAAAATGAGATCCCGGCCTGGAGATCTTTGCGCTGTGAGGGCAGTGCGCGTCTGAGATGAAAGAGGAGTTGCGTTACTCTGAGAAAGTCTTGTTCTGTGCCGGGAGTCGGAACAAGCGAGCGCAGCGCCGCGGACAGCGCTGGGGCTTGGCTTGGGCCCCCGGCGGCTGGGCGCGTGGCCCGGCCTGCTCCAGGCGGTGCGAGCGGGGCTGGCGGGCAGCGGCTCGGTCCAGGGAGCCGGGAAAGCTCGGCCCGGCTGGCCGGCCCCACCCTACCCGGCCTCGCCCCCAGCGCAGCCCGGGCCGGGCTCCCGGCCGTGTTGGTGTCCGTGTCGGTGTCCGTGTTCCTGCGGGGGGCGCCGGGGCTCTCTTTCGGTGAAGAGAAGGCCTTCTCCCGCGTGCCCAGCTTCCTCCGCCGCCCTGGGCACTCTGCGTGTCCTCTGCCCAGGCCCTGCCCGCTGCGGCCTCCCTGCCGCCTGCCCCCCACCTGCGCTTCCACGGCCCTGGCTCCTGCCCCCTGCGCGGTCTCCTCTCCAGCGCGCCGCCTCTCCTGGAGCTCCGCGCCCTGCAGCCCGCGCCCCAGTCCTCGGCGGTGCCCGCACGCACGCTGCGGGCGGGAAAGGTGTGGTGGAGTCAGAGAACATCCAGGATGCGCTGAAGAGGTCGTCTCCGTCCCTTCCCGAGCGCAGGGGCCGGGGGCTGGGTCCTCCGCCCGGACGCTCCGAGAGCTGCAGCGCGCACCGCGGAGCCCGGAGACCCGGTTCTCCCTCTGCTGAGGCGACGCTGGACGTGAGCGCGAGTACAGAGCAGGCCCGCCGCTCCTTACTGCCGTCCTGGGAAATGTACCTTTCTTGAAAATACTCATGCTAAAATGTAGTGGGCTATTGTGGCTATTTTTGAGACCTCGTAAGGTCGCCTGTCTTAGCACCGTCTCAGATGCCGGCGGCGTGAGGAGCTGTCGGGCAAGCTGGGGGCCTCCTCGGGCGCTACCCTTGCAACCGCGGCCGGCGCCTGCGGAGACTAGCTTGAAGGCAATTAATCAACAAAGGACTCGAAACTCTCCAGTTTTAGGTTATAGCATGGTGAATGATGGTCACAGCCAACAAAAACTAAGAGGTCTCTAAAGTGTGCAGTGACTTTGAGCAGAATGACTTCTTCGTGCGTCCTGCGTTGTTACTCCTCAGTGCTACCCAATGGAAGCTCCAGCCTGTCCCCTGTGGCACAAGATGACAATGTGTTGTGGTCTCAGTGGTGACCATCAACCGCTTAAAAACCTAGTTTATGGATGTGCATTGCACGGCTTGCAAAGGTCACCTTTTCTTTATTTTTAGTATTTAATGGTGACGAAAAGCCCTCAAGGTGAATCTGTCAAAATCTTGACTGTAGCTTCTTTAGTAGAAGTGCTAGACTTCACACATAACTAAGAGAAACCTCTGGTGTCTTCAAAAGCAGGAGAAATGGAAAACCACTGTTAATCAGCCCCTGGCAACTTGGCTGTCTGGGGGTTTTGGTCGGCTGAGTAGCCAAGAGGCTTGGCCTTTAAAGGCCACGGGAAGCCCTGGGCACCTGCGAGTGGATAAAATGGCTCGAAGATGACTCACACAGCCAGGACCCTGGAGGGATGTCACCCACAATCGAAGTGTGACCTTCATCAAGCCCTCTCCCTTGGAAATGAATGTGACAGTGTGGCGCTGTATCGTCCATGCCCCCCTGAGCTCTGTATCCATGGGCCTGCTCCAGCAAAGTGAAGCGTTCAAACTCGCAGGCTTTCGTGGTCAAGACAGTTACCATAAAGCACGTTTCCCAAAGTGTCAGTTTCCTAAGCACGTTTCCTATGCCTGGCGGGTGCAGCCCCAAAGTTCTGAGTGGACATCACACACCAAGCCCTCCTGCACACAGCTCTGACAGGTGAAGACACACACACACGACTTCCCAGTTCAAAATCACAAAACAGAGGGGAAGAAAATCCACAGTGAGCCCAAGCCGAGCACCTAGCAGCGGCAGACGCACACCGTGGGAGCGCTGAGACGGGAGGCTTTGGGGGCACCAGGAGAGCACGTCCAGTCACAAAAGAGATCATGGAAAAGCTCCAGCACATGGAAGACAAGATACCCCAAAGCCAGGCAGGTTGGGCAATAAGTAGAAAATGGCGGGGAGGTAGGGGGGAATGTAATGAGTGCTAACAAAATTGGAAGCAAGAATTAAGGTTAAAAAAACACATTTGATGTTATACATCAAAAAGAGACCTGTATATGAGACAATATTTCTACGCCAATATATTGCAAATTTATATAACATGAACAAATTGCCAAAGATTGTATCTCATGAGAGGTGTCTCAAGGAAACAGACCTATAATCATTAAAGTAAGTGAAAAAAGTAGTTAAAAACCAACAAACAAAACACAGGCTCACCTGATCTTACAGTGGTGTCTTCCAAGAATTGTCTAAGATGTAATCTTTACCTGTACATTCTGATTCATATAATAAAAATGAGGGAAAATTCCATTTAAGTTTATGAGACAATGACAGTCTTCACATCAACACTAGACAATTTATGATAAAAAATGATAGCTGAGTTCATGGATAGCATAAAGAAAAATCCCTTTAGTCAATTGAATCCAGACATGATATAGAACTAGAAACATAAACAGATATATTTGTTCACATATCATGGCAAATCTGGGTTTTTCCCTGGAATGTAAGGGTGCTTTAACATTAGATAATCTATATAATTAAGCAATATATTAACTCTCTATAGTGGTAATTTGAAGGAAAAAATCATATACTTGAGCAAACATTTCATAAAATTTCAATATTCTATATGACAGTAAATAAACTCTTAGCAAGTTAGGAATAGAAAGACATTTCCATGACTTAAACAATATCTATTAAATTGTACAGCATCCATAATATCGAGAGGTGAAAGCAGAACTTTTTAAAAAATCAAGGACAAGAACATGTGCTTTCAGTGATTATTTTTACATTCCCCTCCAAAGGTTCGTGCCAATGGAATACTAAAGCAAATTTTTAAAATAAGACAGATTTGAAACAGAGAAACAATTATCCTTTTTCTCAGACATTATGCATTCTATATTTTTTTCACAAAACATGTTTAAAAAAAGAATGAAATTACAAGAAATATCAGCAAAGTTGTTTGAAATAAAATCAAGAGAATAAATTAATAGCTAGTTTCTGATAGTGATGGAGTGCTTTGTATGGGAATAATTCTGCTTATAACAATAATAAATGGGGGGGGGGACTGTCTTTTAAAGAGAAATTAAAATACAACAAAAAAGTGAAGCAACCTCAAATTTTGAAGAAGGCGCCTGCCCTGGGGCACACGAGCATTTAGAAGACTCTTTCACTTAAAGAAATTCCAGGCCCGCCCTCAGTATCTGGAACTACATCAGAAAGCTGGCGTCTCCTGCTGTCTCCCCTGGGAAGACCTGTCATTCTTGGATTTCGGCTCCCATAAAACCCCAGCTCTACAAAGCATTTTTAAAAAATTGTGACTGGAGATTATCTGGCATTTTCCTGTTGCTAGGACAAAGGCAGCACCTTTTCCAGCTTCCCACAACCTAAAGCAGTATGGCTCACTCCAGCCCACTCTGGCAAAGCCAGTCCCAGGTGCCAGCAGGACAGTTCTCGGTTCAGCGCCCACGGGGGGCCAGGCTTCCGGCGTTGGCAGGAAGATTGCCCCCAGGATGCTGTATGTAAGGTATTGTCCAGGTGGAGGTCACTCATGGTCATTGCTGTGTTGTTATAGGAGTGTATCAAATGCTGCCCCTTCTATATCAAGTGGACACTTGGGTGGTTTCTATGTTACAAAAGGAAGGAATCGAGACTATGTTTGAAAAGCTGTGAATCTGCTCTGCTGAGTACGGACCTACACGGGAAACCGCCGGTCTTCAGGAGTGTGGGCCTTGACAGGCAGTGCTCAATGCTGAACGGGTTTCCAGAGTCCTTATCCCAATCCTTTATCCACCTTGTGTGGTATCGGTAGTTCCAGCTACTCCTCACCCTCTCCACTCCAAGGTGTGGTCATTTTAAACCATGCTGGTATGTGCAGAGAAATCTCACAGGTACAGTGACTTTCCCAGACGATTAATGTGGTGGAGGGCCTTTTTGTGTGTACCCAGGCCACGTGGTTAATCTAAAACGTTGTCATTTCCCTTTAACATCTCTCACCCACTTTTCTACTAGTTTGTCTAGATGCTTCTCTCTGATCATGTCTGCAGCCTCTCCCGGTCTTTCTGTCGCTCCGTCACCCATTTTAGGGTAGCGGTGCTTACCTGGCATTGTCAATATTTCAGTACTTTTTGTGTGCTGTTGTTAACACGTTCCTCTGCTCTCAAAGTTCTAAAGAGATTTTCCTTTAATCTTCTCGACATTTGCTGCCGTTGCCTTCACACTAATCTCTGCAAGCTGCAGGAATTAAGTTTTATGTCTGTTGTGAGTCAGGCCCAAAGTTCTTTTCCCTCCAAATGCATATTCAACAGATCCATTACTATTTAATTAAAAAACATCCTTTCTTCATTTCTCTTAACCCGTACATTGGGCACCAGCTCGTGCTAACACACATGAAGCTTCCTTGCCGACTCTCACCTGCTCAGCTGGGTTACTGGGCTCTTTGAAGCAGCACCGCACTGTCTGGGTCCCGGTGGCCGTGAAGCTCCGGCTCCAGGGTCTTAACCCTCCCACTTTGCTCTTCCTTTCAAGAGTGTCTTGGCAGTTTCGGTCCTTTGTATTTCAATGTACATTTCAGACTCCATTTGTTCAGTTACACGTGTGAGTACTTCTAGAATGTTGATTGGCGGATTGTGAGGCTTTGCCCTCGCGTGTCAGGGAGTGCCCGGCGCCGCGGCCCCAGGCTGTCCTCTCCGGGGTGCGCTCTGCGTGGGTCTGCCCTGTGGCGGGGAGCTGTCCCTCGCGCGGGTGCAGCCCTGACCTGTTCCAATATGAGCCCTTCCTAGTTGCCTCTCTTCTCCTTCTGGACCGTAAATTCCAGGTACACCCTAAATTCCACTGTGTCTCCAGCCTATTTTCTGCTGCTGCTTGTGTTTTGCCTCGTGCTGCAGCTCACTGACCGTCCCTTCACCTGCTCATCGGCTTTGAGCACGTCCACTGTAATTATTCTGCATTTCAGTTGTGTCATTTCCTGTCAGTTTCTCTTTATGAATTTTAATTTCCAGGTAAAATTCTTCATCTTTTTTCTGTTTCTTTAAATATCTGCATCAGAGTGATTTCAGAGCCCTTACCTGGGAAGCCCAGCGCATGTCTTTCCTTTGCTTATTTCCCACCCCGTGTGTTTCCTCTTGATAGATCACAGTTTTATTCAGTGCGAGATATTTTGTGTATAAATTTGTGGAAACAATTTGGGGCGCGAATGCCGCCTTCTGTCTAACCGGGTGGCCGTGCTCCGTCAGGGAAGGCGCGTGGCGGGTTTGCAGGCGGCTTCGGGCTTGAACTGCTCAGAATTCTCCGCTCACAGCCGACCCCCGGGGGCGCTCATCGTGTTTGTAGCTCGTCAGTGGTTTCTGGTTTTTCTGGGTCTTTTTTTGTTAGTTTTGGTTTGAGAATTTTATCGCAGTAATAACAGTGGACACAATTTTAGGGGAAACTGGAGAACTAGGATCCCAAAGGAAGAAACTAAGACCAGGGCCTCCCCGGTGGTGCAGCGGTTGAGCGCTGGGTTGCGAGGCTACCCGCAGCCTCTGCAGCGCCGGTTCGATCCCCAGCCACCAGGCGAGGGTCCCACAAAAAATAAATAAATAAATAAAAATAAAAGCAGACTCTTGAATCTCTCTTAAAAAAAAAAAAAAAAAGACAGGGCGCCCACCCCGAGACGGTTCAGCGCGTTTCCACCGTTGCGGCCCGCGTGGGCGGCCGGGCTCCGGGCTCCCCGCGCGCCCCCAGGGTGCCTGAAGGGCCTCGGCGCGGGAGAGAGCGTGTGTGAGCAGGGGGCGGGGTGGGGGTGGGGTGGGGGTGGGGGACCGTGGGGGGCCGGGGGGGGGGTGCTCTGGCTCGCGCGGCCGCCTGGCGCAGGTGCCCGTCTGAGCCCGACGCACGCCAGCCTGTGGCGCCCCACACGGGGGCCGGACAGCCTGGGCGCATCGCCCACGCGCTGCCTAGGCCTCGCCGAGGAAAGATGGTAGTGCGTTCTAAGAGGAAAAAGTAGATCACAGGCAGAGCCACTTACACCAATTTCGTTTTCACGTCTAGACAGATGCTAACAAGGCCGTGGCGCCGGCCAGCAAGCGGCCGCCGTGGGCCTGTCCCCCCAGGAAATGCAGATGGTCCCACACGAGTCCTAATCCGGCCACAACCTGCGAACAAAGCATGCAAGACTTTTGAAGATTCTTTTTAAAGACTTATTTATGCACACAAGAGCTGGGGTGCAGGCCAGAGGTGGGGGTGGGGTGAGAGGACTCCCCAGAGACAGAGCGGGGAGCAGAACAGGCGTATCCACTGAAACACACTGCTGAGGGGAGGAGCAGGGAGACAGGAGAGGTCTGCTGCGCCGTGTGGGTCTCCTCCCTGGCCGGGCATTGAACTCAGGCCATAGTGGCTGGTGATAGCTTGATACGGCTGAGACTTTAACCCTTGCACCACTGGGGAGGCCCAGACTTTTGACAGTTTGTATTAAACATTTTTACTCTTTGCATTTATATTTCAATAACTTTAAGCATGCATGTTGATAATTTTCATCAAAACTATTTTTATTAGATGCTATTTCATGTGAGCTATTAAGTAAAAATAATTCTATATTACATTTTAAAAGTGTTTCTATTAGAAAAACACCTATGACGGAGTTACAGAATAAGTAAGATTGCTTGATTTTTATTTTTTTTAAAGATTTCTTTATTTATGCATACAAGAACTGGGGTACAGGCCAGAGGTGCTGAGTTGGGGAGTGGGTGAGAGGACTCACCAGAACAGAGCAGGCAGACCGAAGTACACTGCTGAGGGGAGCAGCGGGGAGACAGGAGAGGTCTGCCATGCCATGTGGGTCACCTACCTGGTCGGCTGGGGGATCGAACTCGTGCTGCTGTGGACAGCTTCATAGTGCGGTGCTTAACCGCTTGCGCCACTAGGGAGGCCCAAGATTGCTGGATTTTAAGTGTAAGAACTGTATCATACTGAAAATAGGGCTTTCTTGTGTGTGTGTAGCTGCCGTCTGTTCCTTTGTGATTCCTCGCTGGCCTGACCCCTGTCTCGAAGTGTATTATTCCACCGGTGGTTTTCAGTAAGAGGAGGAGGAAGCCAGACCTGAAATGTCTTGGTTTTGATCTCTCTTCTCTAGGCAATAGAAATGTTTACCTACCATGAGAAGTTTCACAGATGGCAGAAGTTGACACACTGCCTCAGTGCTCATGGTGAAAGACTGGGAAGCTTTGGCGTCAAGACGTGATGCCTCCAAACCACTATTCGATGTTTTGTAACCCCGGGTAAGCTGCGTCTCTTCTTGGATTGCTTTATCTTTATGAGGAGAATACAACAGCTTCCCCTGGACGCAGTTTGGATGACCCAGCATGCTCAGGCACAGGGGACTCCCAGCAGAACGCATGACATGGGTGGAGCCTGCAGCTCCGATGGCCGTTCTTAAGCAGCTGGGTTGACGACGAGCCTCACAGATGTGGAGGTGTGGACAGAAGCATGCACAGAGACGTGCATGTCCAGTGTCTGTGCTGGCAGGAAAGCCCGGGCACCGTCCCTGCTGCTGCTGCCCGCTGCTCTGCCCCTCGCAGGCCGGCGCGGGGGCTCACGCCTTGCTCTCCCCAGCTGTAAGACCAGAGTCAGGACAAGAGGATTTCTGTAATTCTGATCCATCCTGAATAGTCCATCACTTCATGTTTTTCTAGGGTATATTCCTATTTATAGTATCCAAGCGAGATCTGTGGGGTCACAGTGAAAGTAACTCTGTCAAGAAAGCAAAGCCAGAAGCCGAAGAGGTCCTCAGCAGAGGCACTCAGCAGTGATTGAAAAACAGCTGGTGGGGACTGAATGCTGCATCCCTAACCCCAGTAGATGGTGTCAGGAGGTGACTAGATCAGGAGGACAGAGCCCCGTGAGTGGCCTCAGTGCCCTGAAGATGACAGCCTGGAGCCCACTCACTCCTGTGCTCTCATCTCTGCATGTGAAGGTGTGGTGAGGAGACAGCCCTCTTCAAGCCAGTGGGCCCATGCAGACCCCCAGCCCCTGCTGCCGTGCCCTTGGACGTTCTAGCCTCGAGAACTGGGTGAAACAAATGGGTGTCTGAGTGCCCCATCAGTGGAATTCTGTCAGAACGAACAGCGTGAATTAAGAAGAGAGTAAATTCTCCGTCTATTCATTCTTTCATTCATTCACTTCTGTGAAATTAATGAACACCTGCTATAGTCCAGACATTGTAGAAGGTGCTAGAAACAGAGAAGCAGTCATTTTCCCTCTGTACACTTAGCGGGACATGCGTGCAGTCTCAGTCATGGTAAACAAGACAGTCTCTCAGGCGACCTGGAGGCCTGCACAGGTGTGAGAAGAGGGCACTCGGCCTCCAGGAGGGCACTAAGACCAGGGTCTTAATGACTGTGTACTTCTCTGCTTCCCTCTCCTGAAAAATGGGGATGGTTTTGATACTCACCTCCTAGAATGCCCTGAGGATTTAATAATATAGTGCAGGTCGAGTGACGAGTGAGTTCTCAGGACTAGGTGTGTGTCTTCCAGCTCAGAAAGGGGACAGTGCATTTGTGGTCAGGAGTGTGGCCTGTGAACAGGGCAGCCTGAGAGCCAGCTCTTCCATGCACCCTCCTGAGGAGGCCTCAGGATATCCCCGCACTTCGGGTGTGCCCTCATTTACAGGGCAGGAAGTAGAACTGTTTTTCTTCCGTTTGTTGAGACAATAAAATTGTAAAGTGCATATAAAGTTGCCATTAATGTACCAGTATGTTCTTCAGTGCTTAATAAATGCCACTTAAAGTAAAGATACCACAAAATATGCCCTCGTCAGCAAAGCCTAGCCATGGGTTTTGTTCCGAGCGTCTCAGCGCACGTGGAACCAGCAGGGACTCGTGCTCCTGAGACTGACCCGGGTGTGCTCAGAAGGGAGGGGACCAGCCAGCCATGGCTGTGTCCCAGCTGGACACCAGCGTCACTCCAACCCCCTTCAAAAGGGTGGAAGCACTGGTTGTAGCACAGATGTGATCCCCCACTAAGGTGGTTGGGCCAGGCCCTGTCTCCCTGCGCAGCCTGTCCCAGGCACGCTTGCTGAGGATGAGGTGGGGGAAGCAGCCTCCTGAAAAAGAAGTTCCCTATTGACCAAGAGCAATTTTCTGCAGAGGGGGCAGCAGTCCAGCCCAGGGGGAGGGGTGCCAAGGGGCAGAGGCTACCTCTGTGAGACACCCCCCATGCAGAAGGGTGACGCATGCAGAGCTCCCACACTCGCTGGCTGCCAATAACACGGCTTCCCCAGGGTCAAGGGAAACAGGGATTAAGCTTATGAAGCATGTCGGCTGTATCCTGCTGGACCCTCCAGAACTCTTCCATCTGCTGTGCGCTGTGTCTCCTAGAAGCTGGGCATCTGATCAGCATGGATGTTCTTCTGACTTTGGCTTCTGGTTGGGTTGAGCCAGCAGGGTCACAGGGGAGAATAAAGAACAAGCAGAACCCCATTTCTGTGGAGGAGTATGTGAGCTGGCTGTGGGGCTGCTTTGAAGGCCACAACATGTCCAGGCAGCCCAACCCCTTTGTTTGGTAAATTACCTCCACTTCTGGTCATTTTAGGTGGGCGGGCTGTAAAATGCCTTGCTCTTACTCACTTGATGGGAGTCCACACCCCCCTGCCTTGCAGAGCATCCTTGCTGAGTTTTCTGCACAGCACTTGAGTTATCCAGAGCGCAAAATGGCATATGTGTGCTGAAGTGAGCCTGCCTAAAGCAGGCGGTATATTGTTTCATTACAAAAATGAATATTTTCCTTACACTAAATTCTAGATACAAATTTATTGGATGAGTAAGTTCTCAGTCAAATATATGTTGGCTATGACATACCGAATATGGGACATGTTCTTTGTGTGGCTAATTCTTCTGGAAACATTTCATGAAACCTGAGGAATTTATACTGAATGGCATGCCGTTCATTGGCATTATTACCATGGAAAATTAAAATAATATATCTTGAGACATTCACAGCAGACTTATTCACTCATTTTCATGTATAAATGAGCACCAGCCTGAAGATTTTGGGCTTCACAAAAAACTTGAGTGAAATTCCAAGTAAGTTAATTTTTCTTGATAATGATTACCAAAAAATTTCAAACATCTAGTTTAAGGAATCCTAAGGAATTATGAACAAGGGCCTCTTCCAAGAAAAAAACCTGTTAAGCAATCTTGACAGAAATTAAATTAAAACCTAAATTAATGGATAAATATACCATGTTCATGGATTGGAAGATAATATTTACACTATCGTAAGAATGGCACTTTCCCAAAAATTAATCTAAAAAAGTACATGCAATCCTAATCATGATCCCCAGTGGGTCTGTTTTGTAGAAATATGTATTGAAATGCAAATATCCAAGGCTCCATTGAAGAAGAACAAATTGTGAGAACTTGCTCTATTCAATATAGAAATAACTACAGATCTACAAAAATAAAGGAGGTGCAGTATTGGTACAAGGGTAAATTAATGGATAAGAACAAACAGTTCAGAGATGGACTGGATTGTGTAGGAATACTAGACTTAGGTCTCAGCGGCACTGCAGCAGAATGGCAAAAGAAGTCTTTGTAATAAACAATGGTGTGCTACCCCTATGTTTATAGCAGCACTATTTACAATAGCTAAGCTTTGGAAACAGCCCAAATGCCCAAAAATAGATGACTGGATCAAGAAGATGTGGTCCATATATCCCATGGAATATTACTCAGCATTCAAAAAAGATAAACACATGCAATTTGCAGCAACATGGATGGCGCTGGAAGGGATGGATCATGCTCAGCGAAATAAGCCAAAAAGAAAAAGAAAAATACCGGATGGTCTCACTCATAGCAGGAATCTAGAAAACTTAAATAAGGGACCAGGAAAATGAATAACTATAAGAAAGTGAAAATCAAAATCAACAAAAAACTATGAACCAGAGACACTTTTAGGGGGGCGGGGGCGGGAGGGGAGGGATTGGGGTCAGAATGGGGGGCTGCAATTGTATGGGGAATATAAAAATAAAATTTATTATTTAAAAAAAAACAAAAACAAAAAAGGATGTATAACATCTAAAAAAAATAATAATAGTAATAATACACTTGAGCTGACCCCCTGACAACACTAAGCTATTGTCTCTCTTCTGGGTGACTGGCCGCATATTTGTGCCAGCACCTTTGATAATGTCAGTAATAAAGGCCGTGTAAAAAAAAAAAAAAAAAACAATGGTGTGCTAACTGGCTAACCATGCAGAACAAAGAAGCCTGAACTACTATTTCACATGGCAAATACAGCCCGACTGCAGATGGATTACGTAACAAAATGTGAAACATGTAAGAATAAAGTACCTAGAAAATAGCGTAGAAGACACCTTCACTCATGTGCAGTAAACAGATGTCTCAAAACATTTAAAACACTGACCATGGGGCCAAAGACTGGCCAATTGGACTTCTTGCTGTGGAAGAGTTGTTCAATATCAGGACATCATCCAGAGAGCGAAATGGCAAGTCACAGAGGGGGGAAGGTACATGAGAAAGGGCTGGGATCCGAAGTGTGGACAAAGTGCTACAGCCTGTGAGAAAAAGACAGAGGCAGCCCCACAGAAACATGGCAATCGTCTCACACTGGACACCAAAATGGCCAGTGCGCGTGTGCAAGGTGCTGGCTGTCGCCCGGCACCGAGGACGTGAATGCTATGTGTGCAGATGACCCCAGTCAAAGCCGTCCACATCAGACACCATGGGGACAAGAAGGACGTTGGTGGGAAACACGGGCTGCAGAGCACCAGGAGAGGTCGCTGCCGTCTGATGCGGCCTTACCAAACGCGCAAAACTCCTGGTTTTTTTTTCCTTTTCCCTCGAATATCAATAACTTCCTGGTAGCCAGGACACGTGTGGCTTCTCTCTCACATGTCAAAACATGAGTTGAATGACTGCTTTGAACCGGCGTCACTCAGCTAGTCGCTTGCAGCGCTGGACTTGTTAGGGCCCGAGTGTCCAACAGTGTGGAAAGGGGGGCAGAAGATTCCCTCACTCGCCTTGGCCAGAGCGGGTCAGTCATGGGGAATGTATTTTGCTAATCTAGAGGCACTTGGCCTTCTTGCTCAGCATCTCCTAAACTAAATTTTAAATTGTATCTTTCAGGGGTTAACAGCAGTTTTAAATGGAAGGTTTAACATTTAAACATGAGTGTACGTTCCAGCAGATCGTACAGTGCATCGATGTGTTTGCAACAGTTTTCAGCAAACATTAGAGTGGAAAATTTAGTGTATTTAATTAAAATTCCTGTGAAAGAACTTAATTGGTAAAGTTAGTGCTTAATTGTGAGGCCAATAACCTCATCTAGGCTGTTCCGTGGGGAATAAAAACAACACTGGTTTGTTTCTCGATCACAATAGGCGTGTGAGTGTGTGTCCCGCTGCAGCTCGCCTCTGGAGCCGGGACAGGGCCTGGTCCCTGCTAGACAGCCACAGCCTCCCGTGGTGTCGCGACGCCTTCTTGGCTTGGCCGTGCCCTGCTCCTGCGTGTCACCTCTCAAGCCATTTCTCTGCTTGGGGTCCCAGGGGTTTGCACAGCCAGAGATGAGACAGCACCCTGGTTCCAAATGAGCAAGGGGAGGTGGAGGGTCTGTGGGGAGAGGCGGGGGGAGGAGCAGTGTGCATCCCGGAGGGTCTCTGAGGGCAGTTCTAGGGCAAGCGTGAACTGGGGGAGCTGGGATCTGGGCCCCTGGGAAGTGTTCTTGCCTGGTAACATCTGGAAATCCTTCCTGCCTCTGCAGAGCTAAGAGAGAGAAGCCCTGGGGCTGGCGCCTCCTGGCACCTTTACTCAGCCAGGGGCCTGATACTCGCTGAGGACTGGGACAGAGGTCACAGTTTAGAAAATGGGTTATTCCTACCTTCTCCGTTCTCTGTTACTCCTTGGTAGCATGGACTAAACTTCAGCCCAGCGACGTGGGGACGATGGAGGGGTCTTGTGGCTCCCCCGGGACGCAGGCCCCCAGCAGGGACAGCAGCTGTGGGGCCCACAGTCTGTCTTCCGTCCGTGCTGCTCTTTGCACGTCTGATGCACAGTCTCTTTCTGTAGAAAACCTTTCCCTACTTTCCCAAGCCTGACGCCCGATGATAACCATCAATCCCTTAGTGTACACGTGACCTGCCCTCCAGAGAAGGCGAGGACTCTGATGGGAGCTGGCGTGGGGCCCGGTCTGGACGGTGGAACTGTGGCCCGTGAGTCATGTGGGGTCGTGGGCTGGCCCATGAGTCATGTGGAATCACGGCATGAGCCACGCTTGAAGTGCGGCTTCTGAGCAAACAAAACATCCAGCACACACCCAGCACCTTCTGAGGCTGCAGCGGACCTGCCCCCAGCCAGCCTGCTTCCGGGGACATTCCGTAATAAGTACTCATGTGAGTCCCGGGATTTGTTTCTGGAGCCCCGTACGTAGGTCCCTACGTACAAGAATCAGCGGAAGCTGGTTTGTTGGGAAGAGCAGGAAGGCTTCCTCCAGGATATGAGGGAGAAGCACAGCTAGGCATTCCCTGGAGACTCAAGCCCTCGCCTTCCAAGATTCCGGGGCCCGCTCCTGCGTGTGGGCAGCGTGTGCCCGTGTGCACGGGTGGACAGATGTGGGCACGCAGGCCGCCCCTTGTGATATTTTGAGTAACTCCGGCCTTGGAACAGGGAAGAACAGACACGTCAGTCTGGACTTGAAAAGAGCACCAACAGGAAGG